CTCCTCTGCTGCTAGTTCTGTGTCGCCTCCGAGGGCCTTTGGGGTCCATGAGCTACCAGATCCCCATCTCTCTTAGGATGTCCTTAATTTCTTCCAGCTCAAGCGGGATCCTGCAGCAGGACAGCACCGGCTGCAGAGCACTCAGCAGATTGTTGGGACTCACAGGATTTACACTCGTACTGTCAAGATCCTGATAGATGAGCAAGTACAAGGGGATTCCAAAGCAGGGCCTGTATAGGGCTAGAGACTGGTTTGTTGATGAAGATTTGGTCCTCCCCCTTCTCCCCATGCTGAAAGCATCGCCAGGACCCTTTGGCTAGAAACTCTGGCCTTGTAACCAGGATTCCCAAGGTACCGCTTTGGGAGAGTCAAAAAATGGGAGCATTAAGTCACTTGAACCTGTGTTTCCTCCTTCTCCTCCTCTCCTCGTGAACCAGCTATTCCAGCAGGATTCCTCCCCGTCTGTCCCGGGCGAGCTAGCAGCAGCTCAAGGTGCTGCAGTACTGGCTAAAACCCTCTGCAGCCAGAGCTGTCCCCTTCCCTGCTACACGGGGACCGTTTGTGGGAGCTTCTCCTCGAGGTCCAGCCTTGGCCTTCACTTCTGCACCGTGGGGGTGAGCGTTTCTGCTCCTGCATTCCTGGAATGCAAATGCATTCCAAGGAGTGGGCATGACCTGCTCGCTCCTTACGCTGCCAGTTGGACTTGGGTTTGTCTCCCCTCCCGTTCAGATGGCTGTAGCTGCCGTTCGTTATCCCGGCTCCCTGTGCGGTGAGCACGGAGAGCTGGGAATTCCTGCCACCAAGGGAATCCTCTTGCCAGTTAAATGGATGTTTAGGTGTCTCCGTTTCCATCCAACGCCTCCAGTGACATGTAGATATTAACTGGGAGTCTGGACATCCAGAGCAGTCAGCTGAATCCATCCTTTCCATCTGCAGAGCAGATACAGCCTCTTCCCACATGGGAAGTGCATGGCAGCCCTAGGACAATTCCAGGCAGCTCTGGAGGGCAATTCCCAACAGCCTCTCAGCTCTTGGCCTGTCCAGACTCTGTGATGGGAACATCCGTGGGCTACAAGGGCAGATGCAGCCTTCAGCAGTGGCTCCTGCATTTACAGGTGGGAGCACTCAAAGCTCCCTTTTGCCTGGGTTTTGGAGAAGGCTTTGTGCTCTAAATGACCACAATAGATCCCAGTCACCACAGATGAGGCTCCATATCCCTTTAGTTTTCCCCCAAAAGCAGCCATTCCCTCACTCTCTACTACAATCCTAAATCCAGCTGGGTTTCTGTCAGGAGATGCCCAGGTTACAGGAGGGCCGGATCTCTTTGAACAGTCCAGGTGGGTAGCAGAGGAGAAGTCATTAGTGCAGTAAACGTTGGCGTCGAGCAGGTCCCCACACTGATCCCTGGGCAAACTGCTGCTCCATTAGGAGCGTAGCCCGTGGCTGCCGGGATGTAGGCGGGATTCACTTTGGGTTATCTGAATGGGGATGAGCACTTCTGCAGCGGGAAAGAAAAGAAAAAGAGGAAACCGGCAGGAATTATTCTGCATGAATTATGTGCTCCGCTTTCACACTGACCTATTGAGTCAGCAATGAGAGCCGGATTTCCTAGAACAGCTTTTCATGCCGGATTTTGGATATTTTTCCTCTTTTCAGCCCCGAAATACTGTGAGAATGGCCTTTGTCACAGCAAGTGACACTGTGGACTCCAGCTGTACCGTGGACACGGAGAAAATAATAGGGTTCAGATGCAGTTATCCAAATCCCTCATCTTCCTGCGGCCCGGCCTCCTCCGCTGGCTGCCGCTCAGCGGGACGTCCCGCTCGGGCAGGGAAGCGTCAGCGCTGGAGGGGAAGGGAGGGATCCGCGCGGGAGCCGAGCGGGAGCTGCCGGGGCCTCCACTCCTTGCCTGCCTTAGTGCGAGACTGGAAGACACTGAGCAGCTCCTGCAAGAAATGGGTGCGTCCGACCCTCTCCTCCCAGTCTGCACGAGTTTGAGGCCGTGTTTCCTGCCGCCGAGACGTGCGGAGCCGCGTCCAACACCCAGCACCGGGCAGTGCAGCTTTAAACATAAATTAAAACGCAAAATCAAAGAGCAGGAGGGCCGAATGACTGTGATTTTGTGTCTTTTTAAATTTATTTCGCAGCTAGTTCTGCCTGCATGCAGGGACGAGCCGGGCCGCCTCGGCCTCCCCGGCTCCCGCAGCGCCTTGGCCCGATCCCGCACTTCGCCTGTCCGGGGAGCTGCAGCTTAACCCGCTCCTGTTGCCCCTGCAGATCTTCCACATGACGTACGACCTGGCGAGCGCCGTGGTGCGCATCGTGAACCTCATCGGCATGATGCTGCTGCTCTGCCACTGGGACGGCTGCCTCCAGTTCCTCGTGCCCATGCTGCAGGACTTCCCCGAGGACTGTTGGGTCTCCCTCAACCGCATGGTGGTGAGTGTCCGCCCGGCCCACGCGGAGAACGCGAGCGACCTCGCGGGGCTCCCAGCCATCTCACGGACAGGCCACGAACTTCTATTCTGAGGGACAGCATCCATCTGATTAGGCAGGAAAGAACTGACAAACCTTAGAAAATTGCCTCTCACTGCGACTCAACCTCCGGATTCCCCCAACCAGTTTCTCCTTAAAATAAATAAATAAATAAATAAATAAATAAAACCAGGCGCTCAGGCAGAACAGAGCAAATGTAAAATATAAAAAAATCTGCTCGCTGTCTCAGGCTCCCACATGCGGGCACGCGCCTGAGGGGAGCACACTGCCACGAGGACGTCGTTATGTTGGGGCTTATTTCTTCACTTCTTCGCCCTGCAACAGTCACTCATTTCCTGCAGCTGAGAGGTGCCAGTCCTTTACTTGCCTACAGCAGAAGCACAGCCTGTGCAGCAGCTGCCGGGTCTTCCCCCACGCTGCCTTTTTCTTATTTCCATGGCAGGAACGAGGAACGCTCTGGGCCCCATTGTGCTTCCCTTACTCAGGTGTGAAAGGGCAGAGAGCAGCTGGTCCTGGTGCGCTCAGACACATAGCCACAGGCCCTGCCATCCACTGAAGTGCCCTGGCCCTGCTGCTCCTGCAGGTCAGTGTCCGGGCTGCAGAGCTGCAGACACTGAGAGCGGAGGCTCTGCGAGGAGAGAGGTGAATCTGTACGGTGCAGGAAAGAGTCTGCTGGACCAGAGCGCCATCGCAGGCCAAAGATTGCCTTCAAGGTAACTGTGTAATGAAGGAAAAGTGAATTTTTCTTCATTACACAGTCTACAGTCTTGCAAGATGCCTGATAATGGGGCAGAGGGAGCAGAGATTCAGCCTGGGCCCCCTTGGCAGCAAAAGCGAGGCGAGGTGGGAAGGAAGCGTCCCATGGGCAGGAGGCTCCAGAAGCGGCAAGAGGGCAAGTTTCCATGTGGAGCAGAGCCTCGCTAGGCCAGGACTCACACGGCGGCACTTGTCTGCTCAGCCTGGAGAGCCTGCGAAGCTGGGAATTAAACTTCCCATGTGTGATCTTTTTGGCCGCTTCTCCTCTGCAGCAAGATCACCTCCACTTTTTCCATTTAACAAAAGTGAAAAAAAAAAATGATCGTCTTAGTGCTTGTATCAGATAATGGAGTCTCAGGAAAGCTGGACGCAGAATTGGAGGGATGGTAAAAGCCTCAACTATCGTCTAAGTGGCTTCAGCTCCAGAGCTTAACAGGAATGCAGAGGCCCCAAATAGCTTATATTTGCAGCATTAACGTGGAGAATAATTAATGACTCTAGAGCAAGCCCGTGTCTTCTTACAGTAAGATTCTGCCTCTGCCCTCCTGAGGTTTCTGGATGTACCATTTGGAGTCTGTGAACCAGTATGGAAGGTGAATGCTTAGCACAAATATTTACTTGTGTTCAGTAATAAAGTAATAGGAGAGGTCACCAAGTTGGGGAGTGACAAAAAAAGAGACGTGTTCTCGCACGTGGGGCAATGGCTCTGTTGGAGAGCCGTGATGGACAGGGTGGGAGGTGACAGGTTAGGACAGCATCCAGCTTTGGCAGAGTCCATAAGCTGGATGGTGGGACCTTCTGTACTGAACTCATCACAGACCCGAGGAGGTAAATGCACCCGGGGTAAGAGCACCCTGCTACACACTGGAGTTTAAACGCGGGGACAGAAGCGCTGGACAAGAAAGAGGAACCTTTGGAAGCAGCAGCCTGCACAGGGAGCAGGGAGACAGGTGCCCAGTGCCTTGGAGGTGCTAGGGAAATTTATGAAATGACTGTCCCTGAGCAGAGTGCTGCTGCTCTTCCCGAAATTCCCACCTGGAAAGCAGAACAACCTGGAGTGGCTACTTGGCAATTCCTGAAACCAGCTCTGCCTCTGACCCAGCAGGGAGAGAAGATTCATCACTTCTCATCTGCTTCTTAAAGGCTTGATCCTCTTCCAAGGTATCTGTGAAGGGTCTAGTGTTGCCAAAATCCTATCACGGGCTTGGTGAGCCCCTGGGTCCAATTCGTCTTGGCAATTTCTCAGTGCTCCATGTTTTGCCTTCAGCAACTGTAGAAGGATTCTCTGCAGGCCTTCTGTTAGACCTGGCTCTGAAGTGGCAGGGAAGGATGTTTCCAGCATTAATTGCTCAGCTCTAGTCTCGGGAGCTTCAGCGTCAGAATCCCTGCGGAGCCCCTTATTAAGGAGGAAAACGCCGGTGAGGCGGCAGCTGCGTGGGCAGTGGCAGCTCCTGGGACCCTGGCCTGGCAGCCCCTCCTCAGAGGAGCCTGAGCTCTGCGGAGAGCTTTGGAAACACATGGCTGCTCCTCGGGGATTTTGCCAGACTGACAAACGCTACCAGGAAGGCAAATACTCCCCGTGTGAAATGCAGCAGCCTTGCATAAGCAATACTGATCGTCTTCCTTGCACCAAGGAAGGAGAGCGGCTCCCCACGGAAGGGAGGAAGAGAAGCTGACCCAGCCCGGGTTGTGGTGGACCATGGAGCAATCCTAACCGGATCTGTGTTCTGCCCAGCACTTGGTGGTGTCCAGGGGAGGGCAGTCACATGCAGCGGCATTAACCTAATGCCCCTGTAACAGCTCGGCCAACGTGAGACAACTGCTGGCACTGGGGGAGTTCACACAACAAATTCCTGCCCTGCGTGGCCAGGTGGGCGGGCTGGGCCGTGGCAGCTCTGCCGGCTGCAGTCCTAGCTCATCCCATGAAGATTCCTTCCCTGGGGAATGGGATGCTGGACAAAATGCACCTTACCCTGCAGGCAGGCTCTGCGTAGCAGCAGCGCTGGCGGCCTGGCACAGTGCTGTGCCCGTGCGTGCCTCTCCCACCCCAAGGATTTTCCAGCCCCTCTCCGTGTCTGCTCCGTGCAGCGCTCTGCTGCAGGGATGTGGTCATGCAGAGCTGCCTGGCGCTGCCCCGGGGCAGGGAAGCCTTGGGGAGGCACCTCCGGGTGCGTCTGAGCAGAGAGACTGCGATCCAGACACTAAGCCTGGAGCCTCACAGTCCTGCCAGGGCAGATGCTAAAAACAAGCTAGCTTCAGAAACCACTTCAAAGTCATTCTGACTCCTTTTTGCAGGTGCTCTTAGTGCCTGCCATGGGTTTGAGCCGACATTCCTCTCAACTGTATACCAGCACAGATTTGCAGCTCCATTTCAGCTGCTTTGAGACTTCCTTAGCGAGGGATCATTTTCTTTGGGTAGTTTAAGGCCTCATTTACCTACCCTAATGGACTGTTTTAGCCACCCCTCTGTACTTGAACTAATAACACCCTCCCCTGAGGGGCTGCTGTGCTGGTGCATTGAGCACAGCAGGATGACTGCTAAGGGGACCAAGATCTATCGGTATAAAGCACCATGATGCCTATCCTTGGCTCTTCCTCTGCTCTAAGGGCAACTTTTTCCAGTGCAGGAGGTGCCTGCGTTGTCCCTTTGCCCGGGAGGGGACAACCCAGACAGGCTGGCGCCTGTCACGCTCCCGGGCTCTGAATGGGCTGTGCCCCTTCGCTGTCCCCACCGTGGCTTTGCCCTTCTTGTTGACAGCAGGAAGCGGCCTGTCCTGCATCATGTAACCGCAGGGGGACAGGGTGACGCCGTGGCCGCCTTTGTGCGCGTCCTTATCTCCTCAGCGAGTGCTGACGCTCTCCAGGCTTGGCCCCGTCTCACAGGCACCACCAGCCCGTGCTGGCTCTGCTCCCTGCTTCCCAGCTCATTCCCGGGCTCCTGCCTTTGCTCCTGCCCGGTGCTGCATGGGGCCTGCACGACGGTCCTGCACGGGGACCTTCGGGGCGGCTGTGGCGCAGACCTTGGCTCTATCCATACGTTAGCACCTTCCTGGGGCCGGCGAGAAGGCTGATGAGTGTCCAGATTAGGTACTGCAGCGAAGGTCCCTGCAGCAGAGGTATTTTCTCACATACCTTGTAATAGGGAATATGTGATGACAGTGCATTTACCTTACACGGTTTTGTGGCAAGGGCTTTCTATCATATAGTACCCACAGGATAGCAAAGGGACCTTGAGCTGTGCCACAAACTCAGGCTGATCAGAAAAGTCAGCCAACTTTGGGGGTTCTTTCCTCCCCATCCCATGATGCGGTTGCTGAGGTTCCAGTGGGAAAGTGCAGGATGTCCCCGAGAAGCCAGTGATTCCAGCTGTGGTTTATTACAGCTGTGGTTTATGAATGACTGCCATGGTGACAAATCCATGACACCCGTGGCCTCTCCCACAGGTCCCTCCCAGCCCAGAGTGCCTCCAGCCACGGTGCCGTGGGGACATGCAGGGCTGTTCCTTACCTGTGGTAACCGGTTAACCACTGTGGTTTATTACAGCTCTCACATTAGACCATTTCTGGTCCGCTCAGCTCCTCGTAAAGAGCCCTGTTTTACACTGAAAAGACACCCTGCCTGGACATTATTGTCTTAATTTTCTTCCATCCCATCCCTTCACTTAATGACCAGAGTTCCTGAACATTTCACAAATTGCTGGAGAATAAACGATTTTCCTAACATTAAAATCTTGCTGCTGACAGCCTTGTTTGGGCTGTCTTGTACCAGTTCTCTGTTAAACTCCATTTCCCAACACATAATCATTTGCTTCGGGTCCTTCTCTTGCATGTGGGTCATTTTGGAAATATGCCAGCACATCATCTCTGTTTGTCCCGTCTTGGTTTGCCCCAACGTGTCGGTCTTGCTGGCTTCCTTTGGGGAAGGTTTCACTGGAAAGAGCACCTGGAACCTGTGAAAACCTGGAAACCCAGCCCACACTGGGCATTGCCACTTTTTTAAGTTATAGGAGTGCTTTAAACAAAGACTTGGGGCCCAATGCTACGAGTCCGTCTCTGGAGCATGTTGGTGGCAGCCGGAGGCCCTGTCCCACGCTGATGCTCTGTTGTGTCCTCTCTGCAGAACGACTCCTGGGGGAAGCAGTATTCCTACGCGCTCTTCAAGGCCATGAGCCACATGCTGTGCATCGGCTACGGGCAGCAGGCGCCCGTGGGCATGTCGGATGTGTGGCTCACCATGCTCAGCATGATCGTGGGCGCCACCTGCTACGCCATGTTCATCGGCCACGCAACTGCCCTCATCCAGTCGCTGGACTCCTCCCGGCGCCAGTACCAGGAGAAGGTAAGGAACAGCCCTGCATGTCCCCACGGCACCGTGGCTGGAGGCACTCTGGGCTGGGAGGGACCTGTGGGAGAGGCCACGGGTGTCATGGATTTGTCACCATGGCAGCCATTCATAACTCAGGCCATTCAGTCAGTCTGCAAGACCCTCAGGAAGAAATAGGTGCAAGATCAGATGGACAATATAGGGCAAGCGGGTAATTCTTGTTATCTCCAACTGTCTTTCTAGATCAACGTTCTCAGTGCCACTATCATCTAAGATTGTCACTCCCTTTTTCCTAAGATTTTGTTTCAAATTCCAAGTGAACGTGCCAGAATGGGCAGCTTTTGTTTAGCAAGTGCTTTCTTTAACATTATTCAGGTTAAACACTGCAGTGCTCCTGAGCAAACCTACGGATCAACCCCACCGCACAGATCAAGGCTCAGGAGCACCAAGCAGGTTCCCCAGGCAGCTATCAAATCAACTGCTCCATTGTAGACTCGTGTAATGTAGGGCATGGGTGGAAACGTCACCGTGCTGGGGTTGCCACTGCAGCTGCAGTAACGATGGCGTTCGGGTGACGCTGGGCGACTGTGCGGTTGACAGGTGCTGACGGGGCCAGCTTGTGAGAGGAGCTCTCCGAGGTGCATGAGCCTCACCGCCAGTTAGGATCTTCCCATGCCAGAGCATGTTGCTCTCTATGCAGTCGTATTTGGCCACCGAAACCACACATCAGCACAAGCAATGGCCTCAGGCAGCAGGACCAAGGGGGCCTAGGGAAGAAGGTGCCATGTCAGGGCCAAAGCGATGTGTTTGGTCGGAAGACTAAGACAGGAAGAAGTCTGTGCTCATGTTGACCTTGCCTGGTGCATTGGATGAGGTGAGAGGGGTCCTGTTGTCGCAGTGGGTTGAGTATGGCCAGCAAGCACAGGTGTAAGGGCTGTGAGTTAGAATAATGCTTAAGAGGTTCAGTTGTTGCATGAGAGGAAGTGGGAGGACAGATTTGTCAGGTGGTTCCAGGAATTGGCATCAGACACAGAAATCCCAAAGCTCCCCCGTGAAGAGAGTTTGCAGGAGTGCAGAGAGTAAACACGAAAAAAGACCAGGGGGTGAATCATGCTTTGAGGTTATGGAGTGCTCAAGCCAGAGCTAGAGCCAAAGAGAGAAAAAGGCCAGGAGAGGAGGCCTGGGAGGCAAGCAGAGCACTGGGCGTCCTAGCGAGCCGTGCCACTGCTCCCGCAGCGAGAAGGACACTGCAGCACGCCGAGGCAGCTGGCCCAGCCTGGGCATGCACAGCGCTCACTCCAACGTGCTGCAAGCGGCCTAGGAGTCAAGGACTGATTTGCAAGTTCAGCCAGCTGGCCATCGCAGCAGCAGCCAAGTTTTCACCTGCATGTCTGGGCACTGTGATTTCTTTCCCCAGCCGGGTCTGAAGATAAAGGCAGAACTTGAGCCTGGGAGTTTGATTCCCAATAGGATTCAGGGAAACTGGGCACCGCCGGGTAGGAGGAGTGTGAGGTGTTAAAGCCTGATGTGAATGAGAGGGTTAATAGATCCAGCAGAAAAGCTTCATGACAAAAGCAGTGGGTAAAATCTTTAACAAAGGATGTGTTTCATGTGGTTATTGCAGGTTCATTTCCCCAGGTATTCTCCTAGGAACAAAGCCTCAGGGATCGAGTACATTCAATTTCCTCTTGCAAATGGGACAAGTGATGGTCTAAAACAAATATGTATTTACTTCGTGCATTCCTTAGCACTTGAATAGCCCTGATTAAAATGAGGCTGCTTCGTGCTTTGCAGCCCTGCAACTCAATTTAGCTCAGTCCTCATGGGACAATGTGCCTGTTGAAGCATATTGGAAGCAGAATCTCCGCAGGTTCGCGGGGTGGCGGGCGGAAGCAGGCGGCAGTTTGGGGGCTGCACTGAGGGCGCCTCCAGGTGCTCCGCAGCCAGGGCTGCAGAGACCCTCGCGGTTCCTTGTGGGAGCGGGGAGACCCTGGGCACGTCGGAGCTGCCGGCGTGCACACAGCAGCAGCGCAGACACCTCAGCAGCCGCCTGTGCTCTGCAGAGCCCTCAGGATGTGCTTCGGGAGGGAGTCTGTAGTGGAATTTCAGACTGGTCCACGTCTCTGCCAAACCAGCTTGTTCTTCCCTTGTACTAACAGCTTCTGAGACAAGAGGAAAAGCCAAGATCTGCTGTGGTTTGGCTTCCAGAGCAGGCTTCTCTGTAAACAGTGCTTGATTTGGCCCCGTCTTTCATTCTGGGCTGGATTCATTGAACACTTGGACACTCCATCCCTGTCCTCCAAGTATTCTTTTGCTGCAGCACCTGAATTTCATATTCTGCTGGTTTCTGCAAGACAAGGAAGCCTGCAGGGCAGATGGGCTGCTAAGAAACAGAGATGAGGAGGAAGCTGTGTCCTCCCAGACCACTGTGTGGTGCAGAGGTTCCTCGGGACGTGGGACATTTCCCGCATTGCTGAGGAGTACAGTGCGCTCGTACCAGCTCAGGTTGTGGAAGTGGCACGGCCACCACGTGTGACAGCTCTGTGTCCCCTCAGAAAGCTCTGCGGCACAAGAGCTCTGGCACTATGAGGTGCTTTATTTCCAGGCCCAGAGGCCAGGTTGGAAGGGACTTCTCTGTCCTGTCCTGCCTTGCAGGGTGTCCCCTGCCTCCAGACAACTTGCCCGTGGCCAGGGGCTGACCACCACCCAGAGCTCGGCCTAGTGACTGACCCCGCAGCGGCTCTGCAGGCAGGACTGGTTTCCTGTGTGTGGGCACAGTATCCCCACAGGTCCAAAGCTCTGCTGGGAAACACTCCCGGTTTGGGTGGTGGGAAGCTGCGTGTTGTAACTTGTCTGATTTAGCAGCTCCAGCCAAAAGGGACCTCGCGCAGCCCTTCTCCTGCAGTGCTCCTCCTGGCTGCGGTTTCATCTCACGTATTCCATCTCTCCCATCTCCCAGGCCTTTCCCGAGCTGCCGGGTCCCTGGCCTGGCAGAAGGCTGTTCGCTTCCTTTATTTGAGGGTTAACTCTCTGCCAGATTAGTGGCTTGAATCATCTTACTGCAGAGTCCAGTGAGGGCCACAGCTGGTGCTGGATGATGGAGGAAGAGGTTTATAAGCAAGAGCAGGGGCATCATTCCTCATTCAGCTATTCTTCGGTTTCCTCAGGCCCTAAAACTCAAGTTTATCTTAGATGGGGAGTGTGACTATCCCGCAGCCTGCAGTAACTGTGGCTCTTAAGACAGGGAAGTGTTCCCCGTTCCGAAGACAAGTGAACTAGATAGATATGCAAATTATTTCCATACTGTCTTCATGTTCCCCTATTAATTTCTTTTTTCCTGGTGCATTAAGGCTCAGCTGGATTAATATTTGTGTCGAGTCACCGCACATCCCCCCCACGCATCCTCCTCGAGAGCTCGGTCACCTTGAGCCCGAGGAGCCGCGGTCACGCCGCCCGCGGCAGCCGCGCTCTGGGAGGAGAGCGGAGCTCCCTGTCCTGGTGGGATCCTGCGGAGCGCCCCGGCCCTGCTGGGATGTCTCCCTAGTGCATCCCGAAGAGGGGCTGATGAGGAGCTGCTGCACTCAGCAGTGCGGAGCCCAGCAGAGCCGCAGTCTCTCCAGGTTCGCATCTCTCCTCAGGATCTGTCTGCTACAGTGGTATCCTCTCAAACTCTGATCTCCCCCTGCTCCCCATTCCCCCTGAACAGCCTATTCAGTCCCTTTTGTTCTAAAAATACATTATTGATGCTGGGTAGATACTTGCATATTCATTTGTCGTTATGCTGAAGAAGCACCTGCTGCAGCACAGCGGCAAGGGGGCAAGGAGGTAGCATTACAGTTGTAAAAATAAATGCCTCTACAAAAGCACAAATGATGTCACCTCTCAGTTCCTGAAACAGCCCTGCTTAACCATCAGGACAGTTCTTGCTGCCACAGCTTTATCGTGTACACTGAGGTCTGGTTATCCAAAGGAAAAGGTTCAGCGCTGTGAGGAGCCCTGTTCAGCGCTCCTCATTTCAGCCTGTCCATCATTGCCCTGACTTTAGCAAAGAGAATTTAGACATTAGGTACTGGGGAAGACTTAGTAACCGTAAAGGCTGAAGCGTGTTACCTGGAGAAAGCAGTATCTGCTGGAGGTCAAGGCAGGTGTTAGACCAATATTCACTAGCGAGAAGGTGGGAGATTGGGTGTTCAGCAAGGGTTTGGAGCACGTGAGGTGACCTTGTGTGGTCCTTTCCACTGTGTCTCTGCGGAACGGTTGGTGTCAAGGTGAACTTTTCAACAGAATAGCTTGGTATCAGTGGTCAAAGATGAAGGTCTTCATCCCTCAGCCTCTCAACCACCTCCTACATCTTCCGCCGTAGCCACATGAAATCCACAGAATGAGGAAATTCCCACGAAAAGGGAGACAGATTGGGGCTGTCTCCCTCGGAGCACCCGGTTCAGTGCCAGGAGAAGAGCAGAGCTCGCTGCCGTGCACCCGGGCTGCCGTGGTGAGGGCTCAGGTGCCTTCTCCCAGGCTCCTGCGCCTTTCTTGGAGTCCAGCAGTCCAGTCTTCTTAGGCAGCGGGCTTAAGGAGAGCTTTTTCCTTGCTGTACGTAGTGAAACTGTGGAGCTCACTGTTACAGATGCTTTGGAGGCCCAAGGTTTAATGAGCCTTACTGTATTTAGACAAGTTCCCTGCAGGGCAATCTTTCACCAGCCACTTAGTGCTGAGGTGCAGATATAACCTCTTCCTGGGGATGTCCCTGATCTGCTCTTCGTCAGAAGGGGGGCCCAGGAGCTCGGTTGCGCTGTGGCTCTTTTCTTCTTCTTCCCCAAAGCAACTAAAACTGCCAGAGACACAAACCCAGCTGAGAAAAGCCCTTCACCTGACGCTTTAGGGTTGCCCTTATGTTTTCACGCGGTTCCCCATCCTAGCAGTGACAGGGCTCCAAACACCTGAGGGCAGAGCGCAGGGATCCCCGCCGGGCCCTGGCTCAGCGCAGTGCCCCCAGCCTGGCAGCGGGCCTGGCT